TATATATATATATATATATATATAATTAGTTAAATCTAATTAACTTTTAGTTAATTATTTAAATTTTAACTTTTAGTTTGTGATGATTAATCATGGCCACATGTAAATAAGATTATGTTATGCTATTTGCCATTGACGGGATTTTTCACTATGATTCATGTGTTTAATTAATTATTGTATTGAGATAAGATTATTTATCATTTTCTTTTTATTTTTTATTTGTGTGTGTGAATTAAGAGAACCCTATAACCATTATTAATTGAGAATCCATGCATTCTCAAAAGTTATGGATTACAAATTGGTCTAATTTGAAAAAAGAAATTTGATAATATTGTTGACGGAACCATTCTATCGGGATTTGTAACCGTTAGACGATCAATAATATTTGACGGTTACATGATGACCTAACGCCGAATGGTTCCGTAAAGGAACCTTAGCATTTCCCTTATTTATTATACAATCTAACAACAGCATTACTGTTGATTTGTTTTGCAATTAGATTAAAAATTAAACCACTTTTGCAATCCTCCCATGTAATTTTATTTGGAATATGTCCTTGAGTAATAAATATATATATTGCTTTAATGCCCTTAGGCCTTGAGTAATATATGACCGAGGGCAGATGTGGTGAACACAGACATTAATAAAGTAGTCCCTTCATACATTTAATGAGAAGATGGATTACCTTATTAATGAGAAGAGCAAATGGGGGCCATTCTGGTTCATCATATGAGATTTTAATGACATAGTCCATCCTGAGGAGAAATTTGGAGGTCTAGCCAGAACTAATCAATCTTGCAACAGCCTCAACAACTTCATTAATACTATGGGTATGATGGAAACAAGCTGGAAAGGATACCCCTTCACATGGGGGAACAACAGAAGAGATGAGGGATTCATAGAAGAGAAATTGGACAGATGCCTGGGATCCTTTGATTGGCACTCCAAATTCCCATTAGCCATGGTGCACAACATTTTCAGAAGTGCTTCTGACCATAGCATGTTACTCCTCTGCAGTACTCAGTCTGACCATCACAATAAAAGGAGGTTTAATTTTGACAAAAGATGGTTAGAAAGGCCAGGAATCCAAGATGTTGTATCTAAAGCTTGGGAAGAGGAACACTCAGGAACTCCTATGTACATCCTAAAGTCCAAAATCAAGAAGACGAGTGGAGTTACTGAAGTGGAATTCCTCCTTCAACTCCTAGAATGCTAAGAATATAGAATCCCTGAGCAGGAAGCTTGAGCAGATGAGAGAAGAAAAGGGGCTGAGAGATTGGAAGCTATGGGATAAGCTCCACACTTAATTAAACGAGGCCTACAAGTTGGAGGAGCAATATTGGGAGCAGAAGTCCAGAATTACTTGGTTGAAACACGGAGACAAAAACTCAAGATACTTCCATGCGCAAACTATGCAGAGAAGGATGAAGAATAAGATTCTTAGACTGGTTAAAGAAGATGGCTCTATCTGTGACAGCAAAGATGAAATTTCTCAATGCATTGAAGAATTTTTCTCCCTCCTTTTCACTTCAGAAGGATCTCAAACAGGGGACAGACTTTTGCTGAACATCGAGGAGGTCATATCATCTGAAATCAATCAAGAGCTAGTGGCACAAGTAAGCACTGAGGAAATTAAGGAAGCCTTTTTCTGCATTAATCCTTTGAAAGCCCCTGGATCAGACGGTATGACTTCCTTATTTTTCCAATCTTTCTGGTCCATTGTGAGTCAGGACCTTTGTGATTCTGTGGTCAGTTTTTTCAGTTCTGGGCAAATGCTTAAAAGCTTAAATCATTCTCTTATAACTCTAATTCCTAAATGTCCTAACCCTTCCTCTGTGGCTCAGTATAGGCCTATTAGCCTGTGCAATGTGGTTTACAAAGTGATTTCTAAAATTTTAGCTAATAGATTGAAGCCTTGCCTTCCTGTTTGTATCAGTGTCAATCAATCTGCCTTTGTTAAGGATAGGCAAATCCTGGACAATGTGATTATTGCTAACGAGGTGATTCATTTTCTAAAGGGTCATAGAACTGGGAAAACTTGCTATATGGCTATCAAGCTTGACATGTGTAAGGCTTTTGATAGAGTTGAGTGGGATAGTGTCAGGGTCATTATGCTGAAACTTGGATTTAACTCTTTATTTGTGAATTGGATTATGAACTGTATTAACTCCACATCCTTTTCTTTCAATGTTAGTGGTGATGCTGTTGGTTATCTCAAGCCTACAAGGGGTATAAGGCAGGGTGACCCCCTTTCCTCATACCTTTTCATCTTAATCTCTGAAATCTTCTCCCATTTGATTAAAACTGAAACTTCTAGAGGAAACCTCCATGGCATTAAAATGAACAAGCACTGCCCCACCCTTACCCACCTAGTTTTTGCTGATGACACCCTAATTTTCTCCAAAGCCAATGAGCATCATGCAAACACTCTTTTGAATATCCTTGGCCAGTATAATTGCTTAACCAGTCAGAAAGTTAACCTTGATAAATCTGCTGTCTTCTTTAGCAAAAACACCCCTCAAGCCCTCAAAAACCAGATCTGCACCATCCTGTTGGGGATCAAACCTCAGACTTCTTCTAAGTACCTTGGCTTACCCCTTGGCATTGGAGCTTCTAAAACCAGTACCTTTTCCTTTGTCTGTGATGCAGTGACTAACAGAGTTTTAAACTGGAAAAATAAACATCTCTCACTTGCAGGTAAGGAGGTGCTGCTCAAAGCAGTGCTGGGAGCCCTTCCAACATATACAATGTCTTGCTTCTTGCTTCCAAATACAGTCACCAACAAAATTGCTTCAAATATGGCCAACTTCTGGTGGAACAACAATATGGGAGACTCCTCAGGCATTCACTGGCATAGTTGGTAGAAGATCTCCCTTCCTACTGAGATGGGGGTCTTGGATTCCATGATCTACATATCTTCAACAAATCCTTGATCTTAAAGCAATTATGGAGAATCCAGAGCCAACCTAATCTTCTTGTCAGTCAAATTCTCAAGGGAAGATATTTTTCGGATTGTGAGCTAGCTGTAGCCAAGAAAAAGCACAATAGTTCATGGTTATGGTCCAGTTGGTGGAAAGTTAAAGACCTCTTCTTCGAAAAAGCAATCCGGGAGATTGGAGAGGGAAGTTCAATCAAGATATGGGAACAACCTTGGATCAAAGGCCATACTAAGAAAATTCCTTCTGGTTCTGCCATCAGAAACCCTAATATCCAATGGGTGCAGCAGCTCTTTCAGGACAACAGGAGAAGCTGGAACAAAGAGCTAGTGGAAAGCACATTTCTGCCTGATGAAGCTAAAGCCATCCTTCAAATGAAAGATTTGGACCCTCACAAGCCTGATTCCTTGCGCTGGGTTGGAGATAGTAAAGGGAAATTCATAGTTGCAGACACCTACAAATCTCTGATTGATATCAAATGGAAGCAACTGGACATTCCAAGCTCAAGCACTATCCACAAAGAAATAAAGGAAACAAGGCAGAGGACTTGGAGTTTAAAAATTAAAAGAAAAATCAGACACTTCATTTGGAGGGGACTGAACAACATCTTACCTGTGCTGGTGAACCTTAATTCCAGAGGCTCGAGGCTTGACCACATTTGTAGCCTCTGTGGAGAGGCTGAGGAATCCCAAGAGCACATGTTTTTCCTCTGTCGCAGGGCACAACATATTTGGAAGCTAGCTCCTATTTCATGGGAGGGTCTGCACTCTGAAACAGATAGCTTTAAGCATTGGTGGATCAAACTCTGCTCTATTAACAAATCCAAAATTGTTGAAGATAGAGTGCAGCTCACTTGTTATCTGCTCTGGTGGATGTGGAAAACCCGAAACTTGTGGGTTTTTCAGAATGTTTGGAGATCAGAGATTGACACAGTGCGCCTAGCCTTGGCTGAGTGGAGAGAATTTCAGTCTTGTTCCTTGTAGCTGCGTTGTAATTAGTAGGGGGTGGTCTTTTGCTGCCTTGGTTATTTTGGTTCCCTTTTGCTGTCTTTTGGTGTTGGTTGTAGGTTTTGATAATTGGCTAGGTCCTGTTGGAGGTTCAGTGGCCAATTATTTTTGAAAATCTTTCTAGATGTCGTTGTTTAGGGTATTTAGATAGTGGAGGTAGGGAGGGACTCTCGGATTCTAAGCGCTTGCCTTTGCCGAGAGATCTTCTCTACCTTTGGTTTGGCTTTATGGAGTTGTGGCTCTCCAGACTTTTAGAGCGGGTGCTCTTGTATTTGTTTAGGCTTCGGCCTCATTCGTTTTATTTATATAAATCTATCGTTTTGAAAAAAAAAATACATTTATTTTGCACTTTTTCTTTTGTTTTTCTTCCTTTCTTCTGTTTGTACTTTGTACTATTTTTATCCATTTTTTTTCATTACCATTTTTCATATTCTGTTGGGAAGATCATGATGATGTATGCAGTTTTGACTAATAAGTTTTTCCATATTTGCATAGTTACAATATCTCCAAAATAAAATAGACTAGTACAACGCCCATTTATTATACGGGTGTTTGCCAATTTTTTTTTCTTAAAATTTAAAATTAAGAAGAAAAAGTAGTTAAAAATTTAAATACTTTTTTTTTTATAAAAAAATATATGTTATTATATATTTTAGTATGACACTTGTTACTTGTGCGACTTACATGTGTTATATTATAATAATTTTTCTAACTTATAACATATAACTACATTAACGTAAATATATTAATCGAGAAATAATTTTATTTCTATAATTAATTTTAATAAGTATTTTTATTATTATAAAGATAAATATAATTTATTTATTTTATATATACAATATGGATGTCAAATCGAAACTCATAAAAATAATTAATTTGATATATTATATACGTAAACCGACAAACATGGATGACTCAAAAAAGTTAAAACGACAAACATTTTAAAACGGAGGGAGTAAAAGTTATCAACTTTTAAACACGTTTACAATTCAACAGTTACAATAAGAAATGATGTTAAAATACAATTAATACATCTAAAATGATCATAAATAAATCAACATATTTATGGTAATTCGAGCCTAATTAATTTTGGATTGGAATCTATTAATATATAATAAGAATTAACATAATTCACTTTTAGAAACACTTTCCCGCCAATTTCATTAATTATTGTCTAAAAATAGTAAATAAAAATCAATGTAATTAATGTACATAATCTTTTTAGTCAAATATCTATTGTTATTACCTTTATTAGTTGAATTTAAAATTTAGGATGATTTAGTTTTATGGAAACAAATATGGGGTATTATAGAAACTTTCGAAATCCTTAGTTTAAATATATAGACTTGATTGAGCAATTATAGAGAATTAATCGTTAATCTTTATATCTATATTATATTTGAGTAAAACATAATAAATTAATACTTATTGTATTTTTCATACATCTTTTTGTTGGCATAATAGAGTTGCAAGATTATCTTTTTCTTCGTAGTCAAGATAACCAAATACAAAAATATAAATAACATTTATGTGCCGCTAAAAATTATTTTGGACAAAATGTAGAAGTGACTTTTAGAAATTACTTAATTAATTTATGGTATAAAGTTGACAAAATTAATAAATCCAATTTTGGTATAAAGTTGATGATTTTATTTAAAGTATCTGATAGCCATTTGATAAGTAAGAAAACTTGTACTATTTTGTGGTTTAATTTATATATTTGAGGATTTGATTTTATTGTATTATTCAAGTTTTCTTACATATTTTATTTTGTGAACGGACGTACACCAATATTCGATTTTGTTCTATTTTGCAGTTATTACGCCTATTTGTGTGTGGCATTGATGAGGTGGGGGCTTTGTAGGCAATGACATGGATTTAATTTAATGTGACTACGAACTTGAAATAATGAGAAGAAAAGAAGTATGATGACTCTTTTATTGTTACATTGGCTGAAAGCTTAAAGACATTAGGAAATTAATTTCCTTAGTCATTTTGACATATGCGAGATAGTGGCTCGAGTAATTTTAGATTGAGTGGACTCTCATTTATCCTGGGAGAGTTTTTGGGAGGTTGGACTCTTAATTAATTAGCGAGCAAGAAATTAATTCATCCATCACCTCGAAAGTGGACAAAGGTCGTGAGTAACATTGGGGATCAGGACCATATGTTGCTGTGAATTCATTTTTAGCCGTGGACTTAGAACTATTGAGGGAGTTTGTTTTATTTATTTGTTTCTCTTTATTTTGATTGAAGAACATGAATTATTATTTTTATCATTTAGCTATGAGTAGCTAAACACTATTTCGTTTTAGGGACGTTGAACCCTCGGTGACTATGTTTGATTAATGCAATTTTATTTTGTTTTACTCGTCGTATAAAATTGATTGTGTTATTCTAGTTCCATGTCATAATATGTGTTCTTTAATTTAGCTTGATCACCTAAGTTGAGGATTACATGTTAATTGCTAGATTAAGGCTTCGATCCGTGTAATTGTCGTAGTTCTTATTTCGTTTGTAGCAACTAACAGTCGTGCATTGTTAGGGATAACACAACATAAGTTACATGAACCGAGCTTGTGTGTTTGTGGCTTAGATCGGTCTATTTTCCTAGATTCTAATGCAACTAGTGGATTAAATTAGGAGAGCTTATCCGAGTTGTTCGCTAGTTAGAATTTAATTGAAGAGCCTGTTTCGATTAAGTATAATTAAGGGAGAATTCGGGTAACAGAGCTTATTGCTATCTAGGACCGGTAATTTTAGAAGACGAGTGAGACTTGATAAATGCGTTAATTTGACTAGTTATTCGAGGGTGTAAACCGACCTAGGACCGATTCCATTCTCATATTTGCTAGATTAATTATTTATTTTCAATTTCATCATCTTTGCATTTTAATCATTAATCTATAGTTTTAGTTTAATTATAGTTTTGCTAGTAGTTTCGTGTTCAATCAAATCCCCCCATTTTTACTAATAATCTAATTAATATAATAAAATCACGGTTTATACCACACTCCCTGTGGGATCGACCCTTGCTCATCACTACTACTTGTTGGTAGGGGTTAGTCGAGAAAAATTTTATAAATATAAATTTGCCGCGTTGCGACGCGCGGTCGCCATTTTTATCTTTTTGTAGAAATTGTGTTGTTAATATTAAATGTACGATTTTGTGGTATAAAGAAGGTGATTTATTTTTGGTAGAGATGTCAAAACGGGCTGGCGGGGCGGGCCGGCCCGCCATCCTGGCGGGCTACAAAATGGCCAGCCTGGCCCACCCCCGCCATGGGCCGCAGGCTCGGCGGGCTGGCCCGCCCATTTACAAACAAAAAAAAAAAATAAAAATTAATTTTTGTTTCATTAAATTAATTTTCCGCCTTTAGCTTTACTGCTCTGAGTCTGAGTTCACAAATAATAAGCCCTGTTTCTTTCTCTGTTGCTATTTTTTGTTTATTTGTTCCATTTGTTTTGTACTTTTGTTATTTACTTAGTTGTTATCTTTTTCTTTTTTTTAAAAAAAAAAATTGTGACTTAAATGGAAAAAAATACATTAACATTAACATTGATACATTATACATCATAGATTCATAATTACAATTTACATACATTTAATTTTTGTTTTTTTTTTTTATGTTAAGGCGGGCCAGCCCGCGGCCCGCCAAGCCCGCCCGTTTAGGCCCGCTCCCCAGCGGGCCTCTAATATCCCAACCCAACTCACTCTTTTGGCGGGGCGGGGCGGGCTAGCCCGCGGGCCCAGGCCCGTTTTGACATCTCTAATTTTTGACGAAATGTTCGAATTTACATAGTATGAATTATATTTGGAATTAATAGAAGTATATCTGAAATTATTTAAAACA